TTCGCATCGAGGAGGCAAACCGGTTGGGTATTGCCTACAAGAAAGGGCAAGGGAGGCTCAAGACAATCAACTCGGAGTCCATCACGATCCATGGAGTTGCTCACAACGTGCCAGTGAAGCTTGGCGAGTGGGAAGGCCTCATCGATTTTTCCGTCGTCACCATGGACGATCACCCAGTCATCCTCGGCATCAACTTCCTCGACAAAGAGGGAGTGCTCTTGAAGACCAACTCCAACACGATGTGCTTGGAGAAGGAAGGAGAGTTACATGCGGTCCATCTCTTGAGAAAAGATGGCCCCCATAGTGCTCTATCCGCTATACAGGTATTGAAGGGATTTAAGAAGAATGAACCAATCTTTCTTGTGTCCTTGAAGATGGAGGAAGAAGGAGGCTCAACGGGAATCACAACTCCCATAATCAAAGGCATCCTATTACACCCCATCTTTTTCTAAACTGAAATGACGATTATGCCCTTGGTCCAAAATTTTCAAATTTCACCGTAGTGTCGGGGAGGACTAAAAATGTGAACTATCGTTTCAAGCAGTGTCGAATTTCGACATAAAATGAGAAAGTTACGGACATTAATCGAGTTTCAGATTAAACTCACCCGGTACCTAATTAAACGTCAAGTCCCAAAAATACCCCTTAGTTTAATTAAAGCCTACCAAATTCGAGAGATTATTAGTTATTTACATTTATGATTGTGAGTACAGACTGGAGATTATTTTGAGATTAGATTGAAATTTTAAAGTTTGAGTTTAATTTGCCCACGTGTTAGGGCTTTGCTTGAACTTCAAGTGTGTTTTCAGTATTTTATTTATGAAAATTTTTCCCGCTGCAATTTAAGATTTGAGCATTATATTTATCAAGGGCATTTTAGTGAAAGTAGTACCCGGCCGGGTTAGGGTGTTTCATTATGGTAGAGCCTGGTTTTCCTCTGTTCCTTGGTCTCCAAGGAATACTGGAATATCGGTCTCAGTTTTAAAGGCTTTTGTTTTAAAGGAAAGGAAAAACGAGTCAAGGATCTTCTTTTAAGAGTTTATAGAATCTCTAGTCTACTCTAATCATATTAAGGCGAATAACTATGATGGCACGACACGAAGGGATGGTAGCCAGGGTGCGATTGTTTAAGAATAGTCTAGGACGCGATTTAGTTAACATGTCGAGGTTTGTCAAACGAGAGATTTAGGCATATGGTGATCGCCAGTAAGAAAGAAAGGATGAAAGAAACGTGACCAACCCAAGTAGAATCTCAAAGGCTCTCAAGACCAAGTATCTCATCGACATGATGGATAGTAGTTTTTCAATTAGTTAATCAACTACTCGGACGTTAGCAAACATATCATCATCAACCTAGAGAAGGAAGGAGGAACGTTGCAAAGGTCTGTGGAGGTAGAATCAAATGTGCGAGGACTTCAACTCCAAATACTAGCAAAGAGGTGCCAATTGAAAGAGAATACCTCAAGGATTTTGAAGGAGTTGAGAGAGTAGTACGAGGATTTTACTACTAGGAACCAAGTGGATGATCTAATAATCTAAGACAAACAAAGGGGAGAAATATGAACCTCCAAAGGAAGAGGAACAATCACCAGATGCCAGTAGCTACGATAATAGGATGATGTTAGGGTATTTGGTCCTAAGCAGTGGAAAGTGGGCAACGGGTCAAGAAACAAAGAAGTACCCCGAGAAGTCCCTCAGCTAGTTTTTGTGGTCGATGGCTCAATGCCATTATAACACAGTGACAAAGAGCAGAGGAATGTTTAGACTAAGAAATGCTAGGGTAGTATAAAGGAAGCCAAGGGAGGAAATAAGTAGGCTACATGGGGTATGAAAGGACGTCAAGAAGTTAAAAGGACAAGGCGGAGAGGAGTCATGGTCACTTACATAATGACGATAAAGGAACCCTTGTAGATAAACTACTTCACTCGCGAAGAGGGTACATGACCTGGGCAATTAGGCCGGTAGCAAGCCTTTATAAGGAACAAGACAAGAGTCAAGATGATCGAAGTAGAGGACGAGCTTGGATCAAGAATAACAATGTTCTAGTTAGCAATGCCAAGCTAGAAATAGGATGGATTGGTATATGAGAGACTCTACAAACTACCCAGATCATGAAAGGTCCGGAGGTCGTTGGGACCGTTGAAAGGGGAATGCAAGAGTTTGTGATGATCTGTTATGGGGTTGTCCTATCCTAAATGGAGGGAACACCTAGCCACCTAGGGTACATGAGGGTTGGCAGAAGGAGGAACCTCTGTAATAAGTTGGAACTAGAGGGCTAAGAGCTGGAGTCTCGAAAACAGCTGTAGGAGTAAGTCATTCAACCAGCCGAGAATAGACAAGGAATTAGAACGTTTATTGGAAGTTCCAATAGATGTTAGAGAATTCGAGGAAGAGTCTAAACAGTCGTAATGAAGTGAGTTTGCGAACAATACCAAGAAAGAGCAAAAAAAAAAGCCAGAGGGAGTTTGAAGAGATTTCAAGAAGTCAATGGGTCAAGTCTCAGGTGACTCGGGGTCAAGAATCCACACAAAGAGGTACGATGAGGGAAAGCATTACCGAGAAGGAGGAAAAAGAGAAGTTACCTTATCCAAGGTGCCCCACTCTGAGTGGGCGCGGCATGGTAGGAGGGCTCCAGAGGGGAAAACTAGTTAGGATGAAACATGCACGTTTAGTTTAGCCACTAAGAGCCATGACTAAGCGGTTAAGGCTATGTACAAGCACCGGTCGAGACAAAAGACGTGGATGAGGTATGTTCAAGCCTACCAAAGGCAAGCCACTATTGGAAGCGTTAACCCAAAACAACAACGAGAAGATACTCAACAGAGTTGGTGACCGAAAATAGTACGAAGTATCAACAGAAGGGTAGTAAAAGTAAAGAAGCAAGGAGAGCACCATAGAACGCTATAGGAAATAAAATAAAAAGGGTGGTTGTCGACCGGACAATGAATGCGTGAAGGAAGATAGTTGGGACGTGGTCAAGCACCATCGTGAGTAGAAGTCGTGGGTGTCATCTGGCAAGTCTACCTAGAGAAAGTTTCTAGTGGAAATGTTGGCTCGGAGGTATGGCGAGGAGCTACTAAACTGAGTAGATCAAAGCTAGTACCAAGCATCGATGAAGGAGTTGTGGAAGTAAGGAGGAAACCACAAGGCTATAATGAAGGTTATGGTGAAAAGGGTGGTAGTTGATAAAACGACAAATTCAGGGAGAAAGATAGTTAGGAAGAGCCGGCGAAAGAATACAGAGGTCAACAAGGAGGCGTTAAGGTGATTGCCAGTGGAGAATAAGTTGGGCCATAGGAAGCCCATCAAGAACTGAGAAGCTCATGGTTAACTTTAAAGTAGAAGTGTGGTGGTCCAGAACGGTCGAAGGGAAAACCTTATCGGTCAAGGTACATAAGTGAGAAGAGAATATGAGCACCAAGATGACTACATTGAGGACGAGGGACATATAGAACTAGCGAGAAACATCGGTAAGAGGAGTCACGAGTAAAGAAGTAAGATGGATATGAGTTTAGCGAACCTGCTAGGATACCCTAAAGTGAAAGCAATACCACCTATGAGGGTGAAATGTGGCGATCTCTTGGGTGAAAATATCTTGCACAGGGAAACGGTACAAGGAATTTCAGCTAGAATCTAAGAGTAGCAGTAGGGATAGTACGAGAGTTTCAAATTCAGGTGACGATAAGGAAGTGCTAAGTTAGGCGACAGGAGTGAGCAAGTAAGCCAAAGGGAAGGTAATGACTCTTGAAGGGAGTCATCAAGTTGTTAGCAAGCTAGAGAAAGATGCAAAGGATGCCTTTAGTGCATACATGAAGTAAAATCAGTAGTGTGAGGTTTCGAGGTTAAGCAAGAAGTAACAACGAGACGACCACTCAGTTATGGTTAAAGGATAAGACGAGGCATCAAAGAAGAAAGTAAGAGATACGGCGTTAGGAGGTACAATGACCTAGGTCACCTATGAGGTCAACCCTAGATGAGAGTTACGTTAAAAAAAAACAAGGTTTACCACATGACTGGATTGAGGATAAGCCGCAAACAGTGACCTTGGGGTTGGAGAGGGGATGCTTAGTGTAATCACAGTGGATAAATTTCGAGGGCGAAATTTCTATAAGTGGGGAGAAAATGTGGTACTTCGACTCCGATTTAACGGCCAACAACGAGTGCTGAAGGAGCTGGACCAACAAAGTGAATCGACAATTTTTTTTCCATCACCAGATGGGGGAATTAAAAAGGGACAAGTAGCCACCCAAAGCTACTCGATGTTAATTAGCTTGTTGAGAATACCTTTTATGGTCAAGAGGAAATAACTTGAGGTGAGGTAAACTGTTCGGGACAAGCAACGAACATCATCAAGGTTGATATAGAGAGAGTAAATTCTTGAGGCAAGGAAGTACAAAGATGGTGTAGAATGAGCAATGAGTTTCAAGCAAATTTTGGGGTCGAAATTTTTATAAGGGTGGAGGAAATGTTACACCCCATCTTTTTCTAAGCCGAAATGACGATTATGCCCATGGTCCAAATTTGTCAAATTTCACCGTAGTGTCGGGGAGGACTAAAAATGTGAACTATCGGTTCAAGCAGTGTCGAATTTCGACATCAAATGAGAAAGTTATGGACATTAATCGAGTTTCGGATTAAACTCACCCGGTACCTAATTAAAAGTCCCAAAATACCCCTTAGTTTAATTAAAGTCTACCAAATTCGAGAGCAGCATCTCCAAAACCGGCCGCCTGCTTTTCTAGTCACCACTTCCCTTTCCCCACCTTCTACCGTCTACCCTCTCCTTTTTCTCTCCGCCATGGATTCCTTCTTGTCATCTCTCGCCGCCTGATGCCTGATTGCGGGGGAGAGGGTGGGTGTTTGCGTTTGGTCGAGAGCAGTAGTTCGACTTGATGGGCTGCTACCATTAAATGTCGGCTGCAAGTGAATTGGACTTGTGGAGGCCAAACGCAGCTTCCACTACTACTACCGCTGCAAATCCCACTACCCATTTTCTATTTATGGCGTCCACGAGTTCAACGCCCACTGACCCTTCCTCGTCGCTACCCGAGGACTTGACTCCAGAAGAAGCAAAGAGAATTGCAAGGCTCGATATTGATCCGGAATCCATCACATGGAAGAGAGTGATGGATGTTAATGATAGGTTCTTGAGGAAGATCAATATTGGAGAAGGTCCCAACGAGAAAGGGATGGTGGGAGAGACTGGGTTCGTTGGTTGCTAGCGAAATCATTGTTGTGCTGGCCTTGACTACATCACTATCTGATATGAGAGTGAGGTTGGGAAAATGAGAAGGGATGGCGGTGGAGGCAAACTCGAGTCAGCAGACTTGAAAAATCATTGAGGAGTTGGTGTACGGTTGGGCGGTTGAATGGAATTTACCCATGAGGGATACAAAGAGCAAGTCGATCGGACGCACGAGACTAGATTACTGACTACTTGATAAGGTGAGTGTTAAGGGGGTAAATTCTACGCCTTACGATTTTTTTCCCCAGTATTTGCTTTGAGTATTTTCAAGTATTGATTTATGTGATGTGTGTGCCGTATTTGATTCATGGTTGATATTACATGATTAAGTCTGATTATTTGTGCTTTGCTTGAGCTATGATTTGAAGTCGTTTTAAGTGTTTTTAGTCACTAGCGCCAATCCGTTGCCTTTTGAGTCATTTTGAGATAGAGTAGCAGTTATGCTCTTGAGACTTTTATGATGAGCAACAGTTATGCTCTTGAGAATAGTGGTGAAGAGCCACCACGATAAGTTTAAGATGTTAGGGGGATGAATTGTTACGACTTCCCTAACTAAGTTTAAGTTTAAGGAAAGCCTTGATGGCTTCTCATACGTATGAGTTTGAAACCGGACTAGCTAGTGAGGGATCCCCGTGTCAGTCAAGTATTTAAGGCAAGATTTGAAATTTAAGAGAGGAGAGTAACTTCAACTCCCTCAAAGTTTAAGAGTTAAGATTTTAAAATTGGAAGTACAAACAACTTCCACTAGTCAAAGTTAAGTGTTTAAGTAAAGTACTCAAGTATTAAAAGTATTAAAACGTAAGGGCGTAAAGTAGACTGACCCCATCTCACTCACCAGTTTGAGGAGCTAGAGGAGCAGTTAGTGAGCAGCGAGTTCGAGGGCAGCCAGCTAGAGGAGAGTAGTATAAGCGTCACGGAGGATGCTTAGTCAAGGTTTTCAGTAGCGACAACTTCAGAGATTATTAGTTATTTACATTTATGATTGTGAGTACAGACTGGAGATTATTTTGAGATTAGATTGAAATTTTAAAGTTTGAGTTTAATTTGCCCACGTGTTAGGGCTTTGCTTGAACTTCAAGTGTGTTTTCAGTATTTTATTTACGAAAAATTTTCCCGCTGCAATTTAAGATTTAAGCATTATATTTATCAAGGGCATTTTAGTGAAAGTAGTACCCGACCGGGTTAGGGTGTTTCACGTCCTCAAAGAGTTCGATGACGTGATGCCATGGGAGTTGCCCAAGAAGCTGCCACCAAGAAGAGAGGTGGACCACAAGATCTAGTTTGAGCCAGGAGCAAAGCCCCCTTCGCTAGCACCATACCGCATGGCACCACCGGAGTTAGAAGAGATGCGGAGGCAGCTCAAGGACTTGGTGGATGCAGGCTATATGCGGCCAACAAAGTCACCTTTTGGAGAACCGATGTTGTTCCAAAAGAAGAAGGAATGGTCGTTGCGCATGTGCATTTACTATAGAGCCATCAACAAGTTGATGGTGAAGAACAAGTGGTCGATTCCCAACATTGCCGACTTGTTCGGTCAGCTTGGAGATGCGATGTGGTTCACCAAGCTTGATCTTCGCTCGGGCTACTATCAAGTGCGGATAGCAGAGGGCGACGAGCCAAAGACGACTTGTGTGACGAGGTATGGCTCTTACGAGTTTCTTGTGATGCCATTCGGTCTCACCAACGCACCTTCCACGTTTTGCACTTTGATGAATCAAGTGTTCGAGCCATTCTTGGACCAGTTTGTCGTGGTCTACTTGGATGACATCGTGGTGTATAGCAAAACACTCGATGAGCATGCCGAGCATCTACGCCAAGTCTTCCAAGTCCTTCGCGACAACGAGTTGTACTTCAAGAGGGAGAAGTGCACATTTGCCGCCACAAAGGTTCCATTCTTGGGGCACATCATTGGTGGAGGCAAGTTGAAGATGGATGGGCGAAGGTGCAGGCAATCCAAGAATTGGAGCCGCCAACGAAGGTGCCAGAGTTGCGGTCATTCCATGGACTTGCCAACTACTATCGGAGGTTTAGCAAGAGCTACTCCAACATTGCAGCACCCTTGACGAGTCTCTTGAAGAAGAACAAGGTGTGGGAGTGGTCGGATCGGTGCCAAGAAGCATTCGAGGCCTTGAAGGCAGCGGTGATGAAGGAGCCCGTGCTCGTGCTCCCCAACTCTATGTTGGCCTACGAAGTGCAGACCGATGCATCCGACTTCGCGATTGGAGGTGTGTTGATGCAAGATGGGCATCCCATTGCCTTCGAGAGTCGGAAGTTTAGCAAGACGGACAGGCGGTACACTGTTCAAGAGAAGGAGATGACGTCTGTGGTGCATTGCGCACATGGAGGCACTACTTGTTGGGTCAAAGTTTGTAGTAAAGACGGACAACGTGGCAACGAGCTACTTTCTCACGCAGAAGAAGCTCACCCCTAAGCAAGCGAGGTAGCAAGATTTTCTGGCCGAGTTCAATTTCTTCATGGATTACAATCCAGGCAAAGCGAACTCCGTTGCAGATCCTCTTAGCCGCAAGAGTGCAACCGCAAGCATCAGCAAGCCCATGTTTCCTTTGAAGGAGCGCATTCTCGAAGGCCTTGGCCATGACCCCTTCGCCAAAACCGTAGCGGAGTACATCGAGCAAGGTAAGACTCGACAGTTTTGGATGAAGAATGGGCTCATCATGACTAAGGGGGAGCGTGCCAAGGTGGGCCAACTTAAGGAAGGAGATCGTGAAGGAGTGTCATGATTCCAAGTGGGCGGGCCATCCCGGCATCGAGAGAACGCAAGTGCTCGTCGAAGAAGCATACTTCTGGCCGCGTATGAGAGACGACGTGGAGATTTATGTGAAGACTTCTCTTGTGTGCCAGCAAGACAAGATGGAGCAGAGAAGCCCGGCAGGCTTGCTAGAGCCCTTGCCCACGCCTCAACGACCATTGGAGAGTGTAAGCATGGACTTCATCATTGGACTTCCCAAAGTCGATGGATGCGGTTGCATAATGGTTGTGGTGGACAGGTTCTCGAAGTACGGAGTGTTCATTCCCGTGCCAAAAGATATGATGGCAGAGGATGCGGCGCGGCTACTCTTCAAGAACGTGGTCAAATATTGGGGCATTCCTAGCAACATCGTGAGCGACAGAGATGGGCGCTTCACGGGCCAATTTTGGCTGGAGTTGTTCAAGATCATGGGCTCAGACTTGAACTTCTCGACAACATTTCATCCTCAAAGCGACGGACAGATGGAGCAGGTGAATGCCTTGTTGGAGGTGTACTTGCGACACTACGTGAGTGCAAACTAACGAGACTGGGTGAAGTTGATGGATACGGCACAGTTCTCCTACAACTTGCATCGCTGCGAGTCGACCAACACGAGTCCATTTGAGTTGGCGATGGGGCAGCAACCTTTGACACCTACGACGGTGGCAACAGGGTATAGAGACAACAGTCTAGCAGCCTGCAAGTTCGCTAAAGTCTGGCACGAGAATATGGAGATGACCAAGTCTTACTTAGCCCGCGCTAGTGTAAGATGAAGAAATGGGCGGACAAGAAGAGGCGGCACTTGGAGTTTGAAGAGGGAGACATGGTGATGGTCAAGTTGTACCCTCATCGCTTCAAGCATCTCAAGAACGTGCACAAGGGACTGCTTCGCCGCTGTGAAGGGTCATTCCCCATCGTGAAAGGGATTGGCAAGGTGGCGTACAAGGTGGAGGTATTGTCTCACTTAGAGATCCATCCGGTCTTTCATGTGAGCCAACTCAAGGATTTCCACGAAGACAAGGAGGACGAGCAGCGAAGAGAGTCGCAGCGCGCACCAACACTCATCACCAAGACACACGACCATGAAGTCGAAGAGATCATGGCGCGTCGTGTCATTCCTCGTTGTGGTGTACATCCAAGCTTCGTGGAGTACTTGGTCAAGTGGCGCAACCTTCAAGAGAGTAAAGCAACTGGGAGAAAGAGCTCACGCTTTGGAGGAACAAGGACTTGATCGAGACTTTCCATCAAGAGGAAGCGACGAGGGCGTCGCGAGCATAGGTGGGGGAGGATGTCACATGTGGCAGATGACATGGCGCCAACGCGGTGACAACATGACGGCTGCACATCTGGCATGTATGGAAGACTAGTAGCATAGAGATGCTCCTAGGATTCTCCACCTTAATAGAGAGCTTAATGGTGCACTTATGAGTCACATAATGGGTGACATTTATACAATGCATAATGGGGGAATTAATGGGTGTATTGATGTAGAGGGACATTATGAGGGGCATTGATGCCTTGTATGAGGAGAGGCCTATATAAGGAGTCATCTCCCTCACTTGTAACTCATTCCATCAATTTTTAGAGTAATACACACTAGAGAGTTCTCCCATTTCCTTTGTCTTTGCTTTTTGTTTCTTTGCTTGCAAGTGAGTTGAGAGAAGGCTGCCTAGCGCTCTAACGGAATTGAGAGCTAGGGCCGCACGATTGAGAGTAAGGTCGTGACAGTGACCGGAGTGACCCCAAGGTTACCCAGGTGATTGACCGCAGGTGGCCGGGGTGACCTGTGGTAATTGACCCTGAAGTGGCCAGAGTGACCCCAAGGTGACCCTGGGTGATTGACCCCTGGTGGTCGGAGTGACTCCGGGATGGGCTAGGTGACCCGAGCTAATTGATCCTGGGGTGTGCTATATGACCCTAGGGTGACCTAGGGTGATTGACCCCGGGTGGCCGGAGTGACCCCGAGGTGGGCTAGGTGACAGTGGTAATTGACCACGGGGTGTTCGAAGTGACCCCAAGGTGACCTAGGGGGCCGGAGTGACCCCATGGTGACCCAGGGTGATTGACCTTGGGTGGCCGGAGTGACCTTGGGGTGGGCTAGGTGACCCGATGTAATTGACCGCGGGGTGGCTAGAGTGACCCTAAGGTGACCCGAGATAATTGACCCTGGGGTGGCCGGAGTGAGCCCAAGGTGACCGAGTGATCTGTGAGGTTTGCTGATTATGGAC